CCCCAAAACCCCAAAACCCCAAAACCCCAAAACCCCGAATTGTTGTATTAGGTTGAGAAAGAAGGTAATAAAAGAAGGTTTATAATAAAATGAGTTTGGGAAGGAGGATAAGGAATTTAGGAGGAGGAAAGGAATGGAAGAAAGAGATGGAATGAGGAGAGAGGGGCTAGGGGTGCAAAGGGGGTTTTGGATTTTGAAATTTTGATAAGGGGAAGTTGAATTTGGAAGGTGAACGTTTTGGGGAATTGAGGGATGTGTACATTAAGGAGAAGAGTATGCCTGAGTAAGGAGTATGATAGAGAGGAGTTATATGAAGAGAGGAAATATGGTTAGGTAATTTAAAAGGCTACTTGTGATATAAATAAAGAGTTATCAAAAGCCACCTCTCCAGTACCCCATTTAATGTAATAACTTACATGCATATTTTTTTCATTTTATCCCAGAACTTGTTAAGAGCTCTTAAATGTAAGAATATCGCTTTAGTAAACTCTCTTAAGTTCTCACATTCTACGATCACCTCTCTAAGCATTGGGCGTGTTTTGGTTCAACGATTCGGATATCCTAGCCAGTATTTATTTCATAGCGAAATTTATAATATGAAGATCATGGTTTACTTAAAATTAAACTTGCCTTTTGCTTTCTCAGCCACTTTGGAATCTGAGAGATCATTTGCTGGTCAATATGAGGGCCATAATCGCTAGAGCTTATGGCTCTTTTAGAATTGAAATGGTTATGTTAAGAAATATCTTTGCCAAATTCGAGTCGAGTTGGGATACCAAACACTAGTTGCTCCAACTTTATTTATTTACAGAGAGAAATAACATGCTTATGACTATTCTGTGGCATCTCCTAAAGCTCTTTTTTATAAGTTTAGAGTCAAAGGAGTATATTATTAGGAATGCTTAATCATGATGAAGAACATTTTTGTTCACACTGCGGCTTTAAGTTGGTGAGTGAGCTGAAGAGAATTTATGAGAAGTCATTAGCGAGGGAACTTGGGCTTTAGAGTCCCAGTTCGTTAAGATTTAGCGATTTGTTCAGGTAAAATACGGTAAACCGTCTAGATATTATGATAAGCCTTAGACAAACCGGGCATATTTTAACGCGACTTCATAATAAAGCCTTACTGCTTACAGTACCTTGTCTTCGATACTATTTGAAAGTTTTAACTAGCTCTGATTATTATAAAAAGTCAGAGGTCTCGGGGTCCTTATCCGAAAAAGTTACAAGGATTCCTAATCAATTTTTCATTTTTATCCCTCTTTTAAGAGAGACTTCCTGGGTTCCCAAAATTGCTCAACATGTTAGGATTAGCCATTAACTTACCCTGGGAAGGCCTACAATGAAGTTGGGCAATCTGATTATAATTTGAAGTAATAGGGCCCATTACTAATAGGCATGCGCATACTTACATAAGGAGGAAAGCTTTTAGAGTCTTTAACAATCGGTAAATTTGCTAATACAAATTAGTTCTTGTACTGAGAAACCTTACTAAATAAGCAGCAGCTTCAGCAGCTCTCTTCTTCAGATGAAAATAACCAATATTTTTTCGAATCGACAATAAAATTTCGAATTATTTTTAGAATATTGATCGAATGCTTAACAAACGTGGTCCCAGCCATGGCTTCTGGTTGGCGCTGCTGGCATACCATTCCGCAAATGTGTAGTAAAGATATCCGAAGTGTCGAAAAATTATACTATGTCCATAACCAAACCTTCCCGAAAGTCATAAAAATCTGATTACCAAATGAAAATTAGGTAAAGAATTTTAATGAAAAATATTAGCTTATATAGCAGGGTTTTTAGACCTGACTGCATATCCCTTTTTAGGATGGAAGATAGGCTCTGGATTGGCTCTCTCTTCTTGGTACTTTCTTCTCTTATAGGCCTTTAGCTCCTCTCTGGTGGCAGCACATTTTGGGAGTTTTATAGCAAAGTCAACCATCTTTTGATATCTATAATTAAAGTTAGCAACGGTTTTTGGCATAAACTAAATCAGTCCAGCAGGATCAGATTGGCAATAAGATGTTCGAGATATGATTCTTCATTTAATCCGAATGAAAACTAAGGATCTCAAACATAAAATCAGACATTTAAGAATAATTTCAAATGTCGAAATATTTCGAAGAAAGTAGGTCTAACTTACCCTCCTCTTCTTGCTCTAGTTCTTTTCCTTGGTTTTACAGAAGCAGCAGAGTCACTGGTTTGTTTGCTATTGCCTATAAACTCGTCATCAAACTTTATTCGAATTCAACAGGAAAATTCATAATTTCTGAAAGATGAGCATCGAGCAAATCCTGGTGAGGATTCCCTCACCAGATAAATGCGTGAAAAGGTAAATTTCTTATGTTCTTACATATGGACTTCTTGCTTGCTTTCTTCTCTCTCTTTTTCTCACCCAAATCTTTGGGTTCACTTGTACGTAGATCTGCTGAAGCTTCTTTCTGAGTGTTCACCAACAGAGACTTCGATTTTGAGAAAGCAAGTTTAGTAGAGGGTACAAAGGGCTCAAATGCTGTTTCAGATGCAAGGGAGTGACTTGAGAATCTTCTATTGAGGTTATAATAAGTATCTTACTTCTTTAATAAACCTGGATAGCTCAGGGAGGAAGTTCCTATAGCAAGATTATCACCGTGCTCATGAATTGGAGAAAATTAATCAACTTACCTTGCTTCGGTGAACTCTTGATTGCTGTATCTTCGTCTTCTGGATTTTTCCAGTATCTATGCATATGTTTAGAAATAGTCATGATTTAGACAAGAAAATTGGAGTTTAAGGCTCTAAAAAGATTCCCACAGTTCTTTTTAAGCACATTCCGATATCAAAGTTTTGGCTAAATAGGTGAAAATGGTTTAAACCTAGGAAAATCTTTGAAGACTTAGAGATATTTCCTATTCGATATCAAATACTAATCAAATTTAAAAGTTCTGAGCTTGCTAATGGGCTTCTTTAAAGAAGATTTCCCAAACTTAATAAAGAAGATTACTTTGAAAAAAGCAAGAAAGAAAGTTAATTTTGGATTGATTCCTAATGCCAGTTTTATGAGAATTGGATGTGAGATACTGACTAATTTAGCAAATATGAGGAATAAAGGTAGTCCAGAATTTCTTTGTTCTTTAATAATATCTTGTTTTCCTCTATGAGAACTAGTCTAAGATCAAATAAAGGTGTAATATTTAAAATCTTTAACGATCATTGATATACAAATAACTGATTGGACAATAAGATTACTAGGGTATTGAGCCTTTTAAATAATCTAAATTTCCAAGAATCTCCAACAATACTATCTAATTCTCTAAAATATCTCTGACTAACTTTCTTATCACCTTCCCACCTCTATCTAGCGACGTCTTCAGTCCTAAACCTCCTTCATCCCTTCCTTCACCTCTCTTGTTCCCAAATTTGCTTCTTAAAATCAGTTCAAAGTTATCCTCTTCCATAAATTTGGAAGAGTAATTCATCGATTTTGAGAGATATACAGTAGGAATTTAGCCCAGAGACTGATTGATTTTAGCATGGACGAATTGAGAAAGGAGAGTTTAAGGAAGGGAGAGAGGGGTTGGGAGAGAAGGAAAGTATTAGGTGGAAGGAAGGCAGATTAAGGGCAGGGGAAATTTTGAAAAAATAGTAAAAAATAAGAGAAAATCTTAAATTTTGGCATTGAAATTGAGGTATTAAGCATGGGGAGAAATATTGATGGGGTTTTCGGCTTACTTTATGATAACAACTTTATTTGGATTTTGGTTTGGTATACTCAGGCACATAGCCAATTTTGGCACTGTTCTTCCACAGTAAATCCATCTGGAAGAGCTGTTGGGCTTGGAGTTGTGCATATGTTTCCATGTTCAGAATATTTTCTTTTAATTAATTTGATTCAATTATTGGCTGCTTAAAAGGGGTTTTGGGGTTTTGGGGTTTTGGGGTTTTGGGG